CCGAGCGCAACTACAATGAACGTTTCCGATGTAAAAGGGATAGACTGCAGCTAAAAGTATTCGTTGTGGAAAAGAATGTAAATGCCATAGTGACGCTGCGATACATGAACTCTAAAGTGTAACTTTCTTCTTCCTTGAATGTCTGCACTTTTTTTTCCTTTTATAGCAATGTCATAAAGGCAGCCATCGTAGTGAAGGCAGAGGAAACTTTCTTGAGCTGTTTTTTTTTTCTTGCAAAAGAGGAATGAGTAAAATAAGCTGACTTATCAACTCATCATTTGTCACAAAAATCATAGTCTTCTTCAGCTGGCGTAATCGTTGTATCATAATCGAATCGGATATGCGAAATGTGCCTGTTATCGCGAGAGAGAATGATTATCCACAGCCTGATATCATAGTCTCCGAGCTCCTTGGTTCATTCGGCGACAACGAACTTAGTCCTGAATGTCTGGACGGAGTGACAGACTTGCTGAAGTCCACAACAATAAGTATTCCTCAGACATATACCAGTTACATAGGTGAGGATCTGAAAGATGCATCGCTCTAATCACTAGAATCAAAGCTATCTGTTAATCTAAATAGGACTTTTTCAGCTCCTATTATGTCTTTGCATATGCATCAACAAATTCGTTTATGCAGTGCAAGTTACTGGAACCGCGGCATTCCCGGACATGGGCGTAATGGACCCACGCTGCAACCCGACGGTAGCTACCGACAGATGTATCCGTTAGTTCTCTCTTTCCTTGTCGCAGTTATGAATAAAGATTATTTCTGATGTCGTTCTATCACAATTGGTCGTATATTCCAGACAAGGTGAACATTTTGCAAATATGGACCAAATCTATGTTGCTTACTTGCGGCAATACTGCTTACTTGCCGAGCCAAAGCCGGTGTTCACTTTCAGTCATCCGAACTTGTCGAAGATCTCAAACGAACGGAACGCTAGTATTGGTTTTACTGTGGATCGGCCTTGTGACGTAAGCTACTTGGATCCATGGCAACTCTAGTTATAGAAATTACTTTTTACTCCAACATATGATTTTTGCAGTTAATGGGTTTCTCCGGTTACTTTCACATGAACCTCTACAAGGACATAAGCCTATCGATAGTGCCATCGACATACTCAAAAGGAATGATCAGTTGGTTTCCAGCAGTGATTCCTTTGAGGGAGCTTGTTCGAGTACAACCCGGAGATCAAGCAAGTCGTTGTAAAATAGCGAGATTTAATTTTTTTTT